CCGTTTTCCTTCTTGGACATATCTTATCTGAAATCTTGTTGGGAAATATGTGTGTTTAAAAGATACAGTTTTAAAGTGGCCAGATTGGAGGAGAAAACGAGTTCCTAGAAGGGATCTCCACTCCAAACGTTTTAAAAGTTGAATTTCCTGAGATTTGGGGAGTTAAAAAGGTGAAGCAGATCCTTATCAATTAATTAAAAAGAATGAAATAACAGTAGACAAAGGGAAAGGAGGGTTAAGAAACTTGAGGCGCTGCAGGCTCAGTCCTTTCTAGTCATTGATTAACAAATTAGGGAGTGCTGGAGTGGGGTGGGCGAAATCCCGGGGACTAGAGTCGTCTTGTAATTCACTACAGCTTCTCCAGCCTGCTCGACCCAGGCAACAGAAAGCCTTGCTGTGAGTCGAAAAGAGATCCCTCTACATAAGGCAACGCGCTGTTTCTAATGTATGAGCGTGGTTTATTTTCCTTTTGGCAATTCCCAAATTGATAGAAATGTGTTAATTGTGGTGCAACTAAAGACTCTCACTCCTAGAGTTTGGAGATCGAGTGTAAGAAAGCAGTAATACCACAACGTATTAACACTAAGACGTTGTAAAGATATTTGCAAGTGTTTTCCATCCGTCCACCAGTTCTTTGGCAAAACACAGAGTCTGGTGGCGATCCAGCGATCTGAGGTCACTTAGGACTTCAGCTACCCGGTTTAAGCAGCCCGCGCCCTCACACCATCTCCAGCCTTCCCTTGGCCTCTTTCAGCACTCAGCTAAAGGATTGTCTGTCTCCGACTCATTTCATTCAAGGAGCCCCGCTGAAGCTCGGGTTCGGTCGGAGCTAAGAGCCGGAAAACACACACCGAGCAGGCTGCAGCGCGAGTTGGTGGAGCCCAAGGGCCGCACACCCGGGCTCGGGGAAAGAGGGTGGGGGCTCGAGAGCTCCGGAGGAAGGGCAGCCTGGGAGCGGGCGAGCCACAGAACCCGAAGTGCAGACACCGGAGACGAACGCCCCCATCGGGTCACTCGCTTAAGTTGGCTCCGCGTGCGCCAGCGGCCCGGAGCGCGAGACCACGCTGGGGACCCGGCTCCGCGCCGGGTGGCCCGGTTGTCTCCTTAGTCCGAGTGACCAACCGCAGTCGGGGAAGCTCTGGGGCAACCTAACGGGAAAGCCCACCCCAAATCTGAAGCAGACAGACTGCAAAGCACTCCCGCCCCCTACCACAACAGCCCCGGGGCTCCAACACTCAGATCCTGGGGACCCGGCCAACGTGTCCCCTTAGTGGCCGGTCCCCAGCCCAGGAGCCTGGCGCTCGCTCGGTCCTCGGGAAGGACCTAGAGAGCAGAGAGCTGGAGAAGGGGAACCTCCGCGTCTCTCCACCGCCCCCGCCGGCCGGCGCGAAGGCGGGAGTGGAGAAGGCGCCACTCAGACGGTGGCGCTGAGAGAACTGTGGCCGCAGTTCTCCCAAGTTTGCCCAGGCGAGGGGGATGCTGTGGGCGCCCCGTCGGCTAGTCGCCTGCTCTAGCATTCTCCTCTCGACCGTTCCCAGCTCGACCCGGCCGGTCCGACTGTAGGCCAGCCACCGAGGTAGCGGGGCGCGGGAGCAGAGGCTCAGGGAGCGAGCAAGGGAGGGGACCTGGGTGCTCCCGCGTGTGCACACAATGAGGCGGCCGGCACGCACACCTTCCTCCCGCCAGAGAAACGGGGAGAGCCTCCGCCGCCCGGATGAGGGGACGCGGGATCCCCGGGAGGCATCCGCAGAAAGTGAGCACCAAGTGAGCAACAGGGGGAGGGTGAAGACGCCCCGCCGCCTCCCGGGGCTGCAGCGGGGACCCCGGGCCCGCGCCCGCGCTTACCTGCGATCTCCTGGTAGGGGATGTCCGCTAGGCTGAATCCCTTGGCACCGTAAGCCTGGCGGACCTCGCTGCAGCTCCGAGCCTTCACGTCCGCCGCGGCCGGGAGGGACAGAAGCAGCCCGGAGAGAGGAAGAATCACAGCCCGGATCCAAGAAGGCATGGTGCAACATGCAAGTCCACCTCGGCAGCCCCCAGCTCCCTGTGCGCTCTTCACCTTGCCCCTGGAGCCGAAAGCCCGCCAGAGCCTGCGGCGCGCTCCTCTGCCGCTGCCCAGCGTCACCCCCTTCCGCCAGCCGAGGGGACGAGCCGCGAAGCCCTCTGGACTGCGCTCAGCAAACTTTTATAAGCCAGATGGAGGATGGCAAGCCAACCAGGGCTGGCTTGGGAATGCAGCCGGCTCCGCTAGCCGCTCGGGTAGAAAACCGTGAGAGAAAGGCGAGTGAAGAGGAGAAGGCAACGAAATATCTTTTCTTTTCTTTCTTTTTTTTTTTTTTTTAAATACCACAGTGGGGGCGTTCAGAGCAGCGGTCCGAGTTCCGAGCCGCAGAGTCGTGGAGCGCTGCGAGCTCGCCTGGCCAGTGTGTGCGCGACGAAGGTGGGACCGACCGCGCGCGCCGGCTCCCCCGGGAGGGAGATGGACAGGCCGGCGCGAGAGTGTGCGCGCGTGTTTGTGGGTGTGAGCGCTGGGCTCTCAGGGAGGTGTGTGCGTGGAGACGTACGGGATCCAGGAGAAACCTCAGCTTCACACAGACTGAGGGAGCCTGTGCGAGTCTTCTTGAAATAGGAAGAGAGAAAATCCTGGAGACTGACACTGGAGGCAAGAGGGAAGGAGAAAGGAGGGGAGGGAGAGAGAAACGTGCTACCCAGAGCACCGCCGAAATTCTGAGGCAGAGTCGGACGCAAAACCTGGAATGGATCGCTTGCCGTTAGGTAGGACGGGAAAGATTAGAAAGGCAAGGTCCCTATTTTCTCCATGTTCATCCGAAATGCTACCTTTCTTGACACAAATAAGCCACAGTAAAAAGATAAAGTGTTTGTTGTGATTGCGCTAAATTATTCTGGGGATCAAGAACATCGCATTTCCAATTGTTGCTCTTGCTCAAGTGTAACTAGCACAAAGCCAGGGAAGAAATAAACACAGAAGAGAAATCTGGGAGCATAGCATTGTGGCTGGCTGACTTCTGCTTGTCTTAGTGTTTCAATTTTCTAAAACCAAGTAGTGAGTGCGCATATTAGAGAGCCAAAGACCTTCACTACTCCCCCACCTAACTCTCCTCTCTCTCTCCCTCTCTCTCTCTCTCTCTCTCTCTCTCTCTCTCTCTCTCTCTCTCACACACACACACACACACACACACACACACACACACACACACACACAGAGAGAGAGAGAGAGAGAGAGAGAGAGAGAGAGAGATGGGAGGACAGTACACCTAGAGAACACTCTTGATTCCTAAATCCCTAGACTTGGGTTCTCAGTGTGTGGAGGCACAATAATAACAGACAGTAATGCATGAAGCAAGACACTGGGAAGGTCATGGCATCTTTTCTCTCGTCGGATACTCTCAACACACTGGCCTTAGCTTTTTCTTCCAAGTTCTCAGAATTCTCAAATGGAGAGCCTAGTCATTTTCTCCTTGCAGTTCTGTGAAATGGGATGAAAGTGGAGACTCTGTTTTAACCCATTTCCATGGTCCTTCTTTTTTTTTAAAGATTTATTTATTTAGTATGTGTACAACATTCTGCTTCCATGTATGCCCACACACTAGAAGAGGGCGCCAGATCTCATTACAGATGGTTGTGAACCACCATGTGGTTGCTGGGAATTGAACTCAGGACCTCAGGAAGAACAGTCAGTGCTCTTAACCTCTGAGCCATCTCTCCAGCCCCTCCGTGGTCCTTCTTATGCTGATGATTATAGAGATGCTGAAACTAAACAACCAGAAAAGAAGACAAGCTGTTCAGTAGCATCTCCATGTGGACACTGTTTTCACAGCTCTTGAGACATCACTGGACAGTAAGGCCTAGTTTGGTGGAACTTGACAAAAAAGCTGAAAGAGGATGTTCGTCTTCTCACCGATGACCAGAAAGACTCCTGATGTCTGAATCCTTTCATCTATCATGGGAACCTTCATCACCATCAAACTCACTCAACATATCTTCCTCTCCACTAAGCCCTCTTTACCCCATCCTCAGTAAGACTCAAGAGGAGGATCTGGGCTTCTTTGAAATGAAGCTGTACTGTACCTAGAGGGTGGTAGAGTGCTTGCTTTACAAGCACAAGGACACAGGAACTTGGGTTCCATTCCCCCTGCCCCCAAAAGGCATACACATGCCAACACTGGTGAAACAAAGGCAGGTGCACACAAAAAACAATTGAGATGGTTTATGATTGTTTAAAGATTGGCTACTCCTGTTGTGTTTAATGAGCAATCAATACTCCCGTAGAGCAGTAGGCTATTGTAGCCATTTTAGACTTGTAGGAAGGCTAATGCCTGGAAAGTTACTAGTTCCTCAAGCATAAATAGATGAGCGTAAATTTGCTGGGGAGGGTCAAACAGTTTGTGATTGGCTTGGGAACTTTAGTCGTACCAAAGAATCAGGTCATTTGCCTACTTCACTTATTGTGTAATACTACATTGTTTGAAGGAGTGTTAAAAAAACAAAGTCAGAATTTATCTGTGGGTAACACCTTGATGATGTATTGGAATGATCACATGATGTGATAAAAGTTCATAGAAAAAGCCTGCCAAGAAATAAGACAGCGCCTATGACTTAGATAGAAATCTTGGCCAAGAGCTTGAATCCCAACCACCTTGTATATATTGGGCACAGTAAAGAGAAGGAAACAACGAGAGGAACACGAGAAAACTCAGGAGGAGATACCCATAGTACTCTGTCACCATGTAAAGGCTCTGGGTGTTTGAGACTTAGACTAGGAAGAGGGGAAACGGGAAGACTATGAAGATGTGTTTTGAAGAATGAATTTGTATATGGATATTTGGATTTCGAGCTTGGTTTGGTAGACAAGAACAATCTTTGAACTGCTGAGGGTGGTCTTGATGGAAGTGCATGTTCTGGGCACTAAGATTTCTATTTCCAGCCCACTTTACCACCCCAGCTGGTTCTCAGAACCCTTGGAGTCATAATAAGAATGGAACTTTAGATAGTTCGAGTTCTAGAGAAAACAGTTGGCAGGTAAATCATGCACCCTCTCTCAGTCATCCTGAGAAACCTGTTTGTGGGCCCTGTGCTCGCCCCAAGAAAAGAGTCTCATTTGGCCTACGTCACTGCTGGCCATCCTTTTCCTGTTCACTTAGACAGTATAGAGTTGGGGTGAAGGAACCATTTCTGTCCAAAATGATTTAAGATGACATTTCTAAGAACTACTTTTTCTGATTGAAAAGCAAGAAGAACATGGGAGAGCTGACTAGTTGGAAGTGCTTACTCGTCTTTCAGGAGATCCTGTTAAGTGGATCACTGGATCACAGCTACCTGGAACTTTAGCTCCAGGGAATCCAATGCCCTCATCTAGCATTTGTGGACCTACACACACACACACACACACACACACACACACACACACACCTTGACACAGTTATCTGAGAAGAAAGAACTTCAATTGAGAAACTTTATAGAGAAAATATCTCTACAACATTGGGCTCTAGGTAAGCTTGTAGGGCATTTTCTTAATGAGTGATAGAAGCAGGCGGGCCCAGCCTATAGTGGGTGGTGCTATCCTTGGGATGGTGGTCCTTTGTTCTATAAGAAAGCAGACTGAGCAAGCCATGAGGAGCAAACCAGTAAGCAGCTCCTCTCCATGGCCTCTGCATCAGCTCCTGTCTCCAGAGTCCTGTCCTGTTCCAGTTCCTGCCCCAAATGCTTATACTGATGAACAGTTCTGTGTGAATGAACCAATGTCCTTCCATGATGAACAGGGATATGGAAGTGTCAGCCAAACAAGCCCTCTCCTCTCAAGTTGTTTTTGATCACTGCTTCATCGCAGCAATAGAAACCCTAAGATATATTTAAAATAAAGATAAGAATCTTGTTTTTAAGGCAGAAGGCTCTTTCCATCTGAGTCTCTTGACCCCTCACACCTACGTGTGTACTGCACCTAGGAAACAGGAAACAAGCCATTGATAAAAGAGACAATGGCAGACAAAAGCTTACAAATACTCAAGGTTCCTGCTTGTTATTTGGGTCACCAGCTCCAGCTCCAGACCTCTCATTACATGATCAATAAGTATCCCGCTGTTTATGTATATGACCATTTGGGATTTCTTCTTTTTCAAATGAAAACAATATAAACACAGACACCAATCTAAAGTCTGAACAAGAGAAATTGAAGGCAAGAGACAAATATGAGAAAACAAATTGGAGGTAGGAATGTGCAATCCACGCCGGGAGATTTTCCAGCGTGGAACAAATCGCCCTGCGCATTAAAGGCAGTGGTACTGGGAGGATGATAGAGAGGCCTCCAGGAAACCCTGGAGAAGCATTAGCGTTAACCTGTAGCATGTGCCGGGCCACACGGAATTACATGTAAAATGGGCAGAAGTGGAAACGTCAGGTACAAAGGCTGAGTGTTTTGACCATGCAGATAGGGTTAGGTGTTCCACACTGACTCCAGAAAACAAATGAACTAAAAAGCAGTATCATTTCCCTTAGGAGATTCTTTTACATTTTTTCTTCTCTTTTCTGTACTATCTGTGTTTTCTACAGGAAATTCAATTTCATTTTTTATGCTTTTTTATTTTTTATTTTATTTAATTTATTTATTTATTTATTTATTTTGAGACAGGCTTTCTCTGTGTTGCTTTGGACGTTAGAGCCTGTCCTGGAACTCTCTCTCTTATACCATTATCTCCCACATGTAAGACAGCTATTAACTTTGTTCTGTATAAAATAAAACTTTGACTTATGACATTTTTCTTGTAACTTTTAAGGCAATAAAATCGCATTATAATCTCGAAAATTTAAAAGCAATAAATTTTTATAAACTGGCTTGGGTGAAAAGAAAACTCAGAAGCCACAATTACAAACTTTGAAATAGTTTTGCTCAGTTATATCACCTCATGAGTGAGAAGCTGATTGAATTCTTGGCTTTGATTTTTGTGTGTTTTCGATCAAAGTGAACAAATAAGTTCAAACAGAATCGTTTATAAGCAGGGAGATAAGCCATGAGTGTCTGTTCCACATTGCAGCCTGGCATACATCAGAACTGCTGAGCTAACCTGCCCCACAAAAAGGAGAGTTCACAATGAAAACTTCACAATGAGATACTTAGCAGTTGCTTTGCAATGCCCAGATACTAGAAGATTGATGAGTTACAGAGCAAGAAAAGATAAACGTGGGTGAATAATAAACAGAACATCATTTGATGATAGACCAAACACTAACAGTTCAGTGAGCAATCTTGGGTTGTTGAATATGTATCTAATGCTGGTAGACACCAAGTAAAATTATATCTTTTGTGTAGTCTAGAGCCAGTGGGTTTTGTGAATTAAATGGGTAGAACTAGACACCAAGGACAACAAACTCTTCTTGTTCTGCCATTTTCCTCCAGTATTCTGAAACCGGACCTAGTTTGCATCAGAGAAGGGAATCATGGGATCTTTTTGATCCAGTTTTGACTAATATTCATGATATGACTTAGCCAAGGAGACCGAAAGAGCTGTGATTATTTAATATACACCAGAAACATAGACAATGAGAATATTTCATATATTCATAAGCACAACTCATACTTACTTGAAATGTTACTATCAATCATCTAGAAGGTAAGCAAGAAATACGTTCAAGTATCACAATGATTTAAAATGCAAGTTCCAATTTTTTCCTATTTGTTAATGATCCAACTATCTGATCTCCATCAATTCATAAGTGATTTTCATGCTTAAAATGTGCCCTAGGTTACGGAGTACATTTAAATATTAAACAACACAATATTTATGCTCAAAAATGCTACTAACACCACTGTATGCCATGGAACAATCTTGGCCAAGGTGGTACTTCCTTACGTGTCTTTTATGCCACCACTTTTTCTGAGAAAGGAATATTAATAGACCCCTGTAAGACTATTATTATTTCAAGGTCATCGTGTGTTTTGCAAGTGTTTCCAAATCAGCTATGTCTACGTAAAATTGACACAAATGAAAATCTCGCTGCCATTGCATCAGATTGCATCTTTGTAGCTCATTCTAAATTCAGGTATGAGAGCTGGGAAAGACAGTCTGTGGCACGCAGTCCATCTGACATACCTAGATTATTGGAACCATGCATCTTGGCAGTCATGACTCAGTCCTTCTGCTTTGTGAGAGATGAACAACGCTGTGCATAGTTCTCAGATCGTCCAGGGCCGGGAACAATGGCATTCCTTAAAGGCAATTGCTGCATATGTTGCCAACTTCCATCACTTGAATACTTGTCCTCCTTATATAAATCATCTATCAGATATGAAAGGCTCTAAGTTCGTAACCTGTCATTAATTATTGCAACACAAAATAAGCATGGTGACAGACTAAGTTTGGGGGGAAAGAAGAAAAGATGATCTACAGACAAAATATTACTGTGATTGATTATTTTTATATACAGGCATATAATTTTTAGCTATTTTCTTTGGGACTCTAGAAATACTGCCTTACATTTATAATGTTCTGATAAAGTTTTATTTTTCAACTTAATCCCTTTATGTAAGAAAAGAATAAAAACAAAACCTTGCTTAGATGATTAAATTATAGAATCTAAAGGGTTGGAGAGATGGCTCACAGATGGCATAGAAGTTCATAACCATTTATAATGAAATCTGGTGCCTTCTTGTGGCCACCAGAATAATAAATAAATAAATTAATGAATGAATAAATGAATGAATGAACAAACAAACAAATAAATAAATCTTTTAAAAAAGAACAAATTATAAAATCTTTTGAATTGTTTAAATAATCTAAAGAAAATAATTCTAAAGAAAATTTTATAATACTGATTAGGAATAAACACTGTTGCTGTTTATAATACTACAACTGATAGAAAATTAGTCTTGATGGTGGGAAGTGATCTAAACATTCTATAATAACCAAAATAGTTAAAGTTTTATTTTAATTTGTCATATAACCTCAAATTACAATGATTAGAGTCATCACATAGATTGTAAATTACCAAGAAAAATAATGAAAATTTTAAGTGAATTTTGTTACATGTACTTATAAATAGAAGCAACTACACCCTCTCTGTTAGTGTAACAACACCAGAAAGCAGAAGTCATTTCTCTGGGGAAGTTAACTCCAGCTCCAGGAGATCTGACACCCTCCTCTGACTTCAGAACACACTGCACTCATGTGTACATACCCCATACATACACACACACACACACACACACACACACACACACACAATTAAAACATAAAATATTTTAAACTATAAAGAAATAGAAAAATAATCTCTTCCTTATTATTTCTTAGGGTGCTTAAAATGCTCACAAATGTACTCCTGTCTTTCATGTAGAACCAAAATTCTTCACCGATCTATGAAAACACTAAACCCAAATGTGTAGCATTTTAAAAGATCATTAAGAACAAAACAAGAGCAATAAATCAGTAGGGTTGTGGCTGGCTCAACAGGTACCAAACACCAACCCTTTTAGATCTCTAGTTAACAAAAATCACAATGACCCTAATCTGTGCCATTCGTTGGTAAGCCAGAACCAAGACAAATTCAAAGACAGTTGATGTCCATAAAACATCTATGGATTCTCCATCTAAAGGCCTTCTCCATTTGCCTTTGTAGCATCTACTTCTGGGTGGTTGTTTTTCTGAAACAGGGCCTCCTTATATGACCAACTCATGTGACCTCATCCTCATAATTCTCCCCCCTCAAGCTCCCTGAGTACTTGCTCCCAGAATCTTCAATTATTTCTTTACAACCAGGTCCTCAAGATGCCCAGGTTGGTCTCAAACTCTCTAGATAGTTCAGGGTGACCTTGAAATCCTGATCCTCCCAACTCAGCCTCTGAACTTCTGGAATTATGGGTCTCAACCACCATAGCCAGGTTTTCTTCCATGATTTATAAGCTACAAAATTGGAGAACGTATTTTAGTTTCATACCAAATATTATTGTCTTTCATTTGAAGAATTCGGTACTAGTTCTCTTGGTGTCCTGAACTCACCTCCAAGCACTCACTCCTACCCCTTGTTACTACATTAACTTTGCACATTTTATTACATCTCAAGCACAAATAATTAAATGTTTATAAGAGAACAAATCTAGTGTTTTTTAAGTTACTTGGGACATTAAGGGGAAAAAAAACGGGGATTTAAAGTTGGACGTTCCATCTCCTAACGATCTGTTTCCAGGGAGGGGTCTGAAGCCAGGCAGGGGAGGAACGGGAGGCGCTGTGCCTGGCTTCCCCCTCTGTTCGTTTGCAGTCACAGGCAATCAATGTTGAAGACATTACTAAGCAATCCAGGGCTGTTTGCTTTTAATTGGTAGACTATCTTCCAAAAATAACATCATTGGGCTTCACAACACCCCAGTCATAGAAGAGTTAGAGAATGAATGTCTTTACTGTACAGGAGGACCTCTATGAATCATGAATAGGGCTCTATTTTTCCTGGGAAACAGACATGTACTAGCATGTTCCTGGTAATGAGCAGCATTGTCAATGTGCACAGCTTAGGCTGACACTAAGTCGGCTCTGACTTCCATGTTAATTTAAGTTGATAACTGAGTTTTCAACTCCAAAGAGGGTCAAACAACCTTATTTTAAACGTGCAATATGCTCGCCTGGCGTCTGCTCTCTCTCGGGTTTGAAATGATGATTTGATACCGAAATTGAAAAGATGAAGGCTCGTGTTGCAGTCCCTGGGGAGCAAAGCAGGCATACACAAATTTGAGAAGAAAAGAGAAGAGTGTTTTAAGGCAGTATTTTAAGAACTAGACTTTCATCTTTATTTTAAACTTAATGAAACCAATCACTGAAATGTGATTTCTCCCAGGCTCACATAAAAAGCAGTTTGTGTCGTGCACAGACGAAGCAAATTTAGATATTGTGTGCAACACATAATTCACGAAATAACTAATGAAAAGTAAGATCTAAGACTTATATGATAATGGCCTGCAATGTGGTTAAAACTATTTGGCTTTTCCTTTAGAAAAGATTGTGAAAGAGCTTAATGTATTTTGTAAATTACTTCCATAATGATTTCACTTACAAAGAATACAATTTGCTAGTCTATTTTCATAATGAATGAGAACTTAATGAATGACACATACTTCACCATTCAATGGAAATGTGGCCCATCACGACATCAAATTGAAATCTTCGCTAGAAGGCGGCTTTGGACTTTGGCAAGATTTCTAGAATTTTCCTTTCTTCCTATTGCTTTGAGGTGACATGCTCATTTTCAAGTTGGCTTAAAAGATTAGTTAGCCATCATGCTAAATTATCGTGCACTGCCTTGGTAGCTAACTCAGATGGAAAATTTTGTATTTGCGTAATGGTCTTGCAGTCTTCACAGGCTGCAAACCCAAGTGTAAGGAATGAAACTTACTTTCTTGTAACAGAACTTAATTTCTATTTTAAGTCTCATTTATGCTCTGGAGGGGGAAAAAGCTAAACTTGCCAATTCCAGGTAAATTTAGTTGCATAAGAATTTTCTCAGACAAATCTCCTTCTCCAGACTGAGTTCTTTGTTTCCCTGTGGCTATGTGAGGACATTGGGCATAGGTGCAAAAAGATACTTTATTTGGTCATGGGAGTTTCTGAGCTCCCATGAGTCCTCTGAGACATGAACAGATCTCTTTCTCAGTCCCTGCCCATCCAGTACAATGTGATATCCAAGCCACCCTGTTCCTCTTCCAAACCAGAACCGTGCACACACCTCAGTGTGAGCAAACCAGAATCGTGCATACACACCAGTGTAAACAAACAAGAACCGTGTACACACCTGAGTGTAAACAAACCAGAACTGTGCACACACACCAGTGTGAGCAAACCAGAACTGTGCACACACCAGTATGAGCAAACCAGAACTGTGCACACACCAGTGTGAACAAGCCAGAACAGTGTACACACACCAGTGTGAACAAACCAGAACCATGCATACACATCCAGTGTGTACAAACCAGAACCCTGCATGCACACCAGTGTGGACAAACCAGAACCCTGCACACTCACCAGTGTGAGCAAACCAAAACCACGCATACACATCAGTGTGAACAAACCAGAACCGCTCATACACATCAGTGTGAACAAGTGCTCACAACATTTCTTTCCCTCAGCTCATCTATGCTCTTTGTTGAATACACAACTAGGTCAGGTGGTCACTTTGCACCTGTCTGCAGGTCCAGCCCAGTCACACTGCCATGACATTGTAGCACGGGGAAAATTCCTGAAGCTGCATAGCAGAGTCATAATATATACCACTACCCACAGGGGGGGCCTGTACCATTGAGAGTACAGTACAGAATACATACCACTGCCCACAGGGGGGCATGTGCCTATGGGGTACAGTACAGGGCACATACCACTGCCCACAGGGGGGCCTGTACCTATGGGGTACAGTACAGGGTACATACCACTGCCCACAGGGGGGCCTGTCCCTATTGGGGTGCAGGTCACAGAGAAGACAGAAAAATTCTCTCCTTCTTTCATTCTGCATTCCCTTTTCCCTTCACCCACCGTTTTCTCCCAGACGCAGGCTGAGACAGAGAACCACCTCTAGGTAGATATTCTTTGCATTATTGATGATCACCTGCACGGCGGAGTTTGCTCTCTTTAAATCTTAGATCTCTTTCTTAGAACTTAGAAGAATTCTTTCCTCTTTCAGAATGGTTCAAACTTAGAAATCCAAACATGATTGCTGTCTCTACATTAAGTATAAGGGACTTTAGAATTTTTTTAAATGAAATTTTACTTCTTCATTGAATAAGTACATCAAAGTAGTCAGGACAATAAAGACAATAAAACAGTTACCTCATGATATTTTACAATTGTTGCCACAAAGCACTGTACACAATGTTCTTAGAGACCAGCAGATAATATGTAAAAACTGAAGAACATTTAATTATCCTCCCCTATAAAATCATTCCTAGCTGTGACTACCGAGTGTATGGTGGACTACAATAATCACCAAAGCCTGGTAGGAGGTTTTCACCAATTAAAAAAAGCTTTTCAAGACCCTTGAGACCCTTGGGAGCTAAGAAGACCTAGAAAGGGACAAACATACAGCAAATCTCCTCACTAGAGGTTAAAATTATGTTTCACTAATGATTTTCTGGTCCAGGGAGACACTTGTTGGATGCTTTCATTGACCACCCACAGAATATTCATCAGTCTGCATCAGGAAGGTTGTTTCTTCCGGTCATAGCCTCTCCCTTCTGACGGAGCAGTAGTGCCCAGGGCTCCATGCAAGTGTGCTAGCAGATTTTTGCAAAAATAATTAAATCAGCTCATAAAGTATTTGTGTTTTTAAAACATATAATAATAGCCCCAGGTATGGATTTGGTGCGTGCGTGTGTGTGTGTGTGTGTGTGTGTGTGTGTGTATGTTTATACTGCAATCATTTAAAATTAGGAGGTCATAAGAAAAATTTAAATGTTGAAGGGGGATGGGAACATGAGTGGGGCATTTTATTGTGAAGGGGGAAAGGAGAAGGTCAAAACAGAAGGAAAGGGAGGGAGGGGAGAAAAAACACTAAGGATATTTGAATTGGGTTGGAACCTCCAGCTCGCCCTTGATGGGGAAAGCCCTATTCCTGCTTCTTTCTCCAAACCCTACTCTCTCAGAGACTCTCCAACAAAGAAAAGGTGCCAGAAAGCCCAGTTCCAAACTGTTGGCAACTATTGCAACTCCTCCGCTGTTGCCACCAGCAGCCCAAGTCTCTGCCTAACATTCCAGGTTTTTGCCACACAAAGCCAGCTTGTGGCAGACACATTATCACTCCTGGCCTACAGGCTACATAATCTCCCTGCTTTAGTTCAGGCTGCAGCTCTCCAGCTGTGATCTCTGGGACTGCAGGACTTCGGCAGAAGTTGCTTTGCTCAAATAAACCTGCTGCTATAATTTGGTTTGATCTGGTTTACTGCGTCAGTAGACGGGTAAACAGGAAACCTATTAGTTTGAACATACCATTAGAGAATTGTATTTTTATTTAACTAAAATTACATAGAATGCATTTGTATACATATACATATTGAGTTTAAATGAAATTATCACACTTGAGCTTTCAAGAGCCATTAACCATCTAACAAATTTCCCAATACCCGGTATAAAAATGCTCCTCAGGAGTTACTGGTCAGTGGAGTCCAAGTGATCCCCCTAAAACAATATAGACTGAAGCTGTTGCTTTGATGGCCCTCAGAAGTTGAAGATAAGTCCCTCTTGCTAAAGACACCACACATTTGGCACACAGGACTACAAAGATCTGAGCTGCATCTGATCTGAAAGGCTCTTTGTTGAGCAGTAGGATCCATAGTACAGAAAGTGCCGTGCAGGTGGCCAAGGGAGGGAAGCGATCAGTAATTCTACCCAGCTATGACACCTATGAAATATACCAATGGCCAGCGTGGTAGGATAGCTCTAAAGTACAATAGTGGCACTCCTATCTTGTCAGCAACTAACAGTTGTCTGATTGGACTTCAGACATTCTCTGTGGGATGGAAATCATGCCTGGTACTACCCAACTGCCTGGGCTAGCGAAGTCATGGACCTTAGAGAAGATACAACCACCATCATACTAACTAAACCGATTGTGTCCTAAATACTTGTTCATAGACTCATAGAAATGGGGAGCTCTCACCGCTCATCAGAGACTCTTCCTTTTACCATAGATGGGGGCCGTTACTGAAAACTGTAACTGGTCTTAATAGTGCCCAGCCCCACTGGATACATCTACAACACAACTTCTTCTCTGACTTGTGTTTTATTGTTTGGTTTGTTTTATTTGTTGTTTGTTTTGACAGTTTGGTGAAAACCACGGTTATCAGGGAAGAGGAAACTCAGCTGAGAAATACCTCCATCCAGATGGCCTATAGGCAACTTTGTAGGACGTTTTCTTGTTTCATGTTTGATGCTAGAAGGACCTGACGACAGAGAGCGGACCCCGCCCCCAGTCCCAGGCCAGATGGTCTAGAATTGTGTAACAAAGCAAGGTGAAGAAGCCACGGGGAGGGGAGCAGATCAGCAAACAGCATTCCTCCATGGTTTCAGTTTCTGCTTCTAGTTTCCTGTCTTGAATTCTTGTCCCAACTTCCATAGGATGGACTGTTACATGGAAGTACAAGATGAAATAAACTCTTCCCTCCCAAAGTTGCTTTTGGATGTGCTTTTTATTTGTGGTAATGTGGTAACTAAGACACTCGTGTACCTCAGGCTCAGGGAACATTCCCAAACAGAGAGCAGAAATATTTTGTGAGCCAGAGGAGCAGGAAGTCTGCTGTGAGATTCTGTCTCCTGGAAATAACAGAGACACTATATCCATGATACTTCAACAATGCAGCAGCTTAAAGAGGACCTGAAAAAGGACAAGATCAATAGAAATCCTGATACAGAAGAACAAACGCGGGGGGCCCAAAACCTGCATGAAGAACTACAGGCAGTTAAGGGATGCTGAGAGCAGGAAAAATTGCCTTCCCCAAGAGGAGTAGGAAAAACATTTTTCCCAGTGATGTGCCTCTAACAGTTTGTCCAGTTCCAAGTGGCCAGCCCTGAAATCATTTACAAGTGACATTGAATGGACTCAGCAGGTTACATTTACATATTTATACATATATATGGGCAACTATAATAAATAAAATGTGGTCATGAATTCGGGACAGTCAGGTGGCCCATGGAAGGGTTTAGAAGGAAGAAAGGAAAGGGAAAATGATTTACTTATATTTTAATTAAAATTAAAACATTTAAATGTACTTTTCTTGAAAGTTTCAAGGTCTGGTATACTGGACATTTAACTGAGGAGTAGGCAACAAGTGAGCCAAGTTTGTTTACTCAAATTTGCCTCCTATCTCAAGAGCCAATTCTCTTGCCTTCTAACTCAGGCCTGTAGCAGACACTGGCATTAGCAGCCCACTGTATAAGCTTCTGAATTAGTGATCACTGACAGTCCAGGAAGGGGCAACTGAAAGAAAAGGAGTTCTAGGATAGGGCAAGCTGTATATGTATAATAATAGGATTATTATTTTAAAATGTGCCACATTTGTTTACGCTGTGAAATATTTGTTCAATGATGCAAAGATGTGTTGCATTCTTTCATGTTGCATTTTTTTGACTCTATGAAGCTGTGTCATTTTGCCTATCTAAAACACCTGATTGGTTTAATAAAGAGCTGAATGACCAATAGCTAGTCAGGAGAAAGGATAGGAGGGGCTGGAAGACAGAGAGAAGAAATGGAAGGAAAAATCTGAGAAAGAGAAAGAAGCAAGAGATCAAAGAGCAAGAGAAGGAGGAGAACTCAAGAGGCCAGGCACCCAGCTACATAGTCAGCCGCAGAGAAAGAAGTTTAAAAAAAAAAAAGTTGTACAGAAATAGAGAAAGGCAAAAGCCCAGAGATAATAGACAGATGGGATAATTTAAGTTAAGAAAAGTAGGTTGTAAATAAGCCAAACTAAGGTCAGGCATTCTTAAGTAAGAATAAGAGTCTATGTGATTTATTTGGGAGCTGGGTGGCAGGCCCCCCAAAAGGGTAAAAACAAACAACAGATAAATGCAGATCGTGAGAGACTTATGCAGGCACCCAGGTTGCCTGTGTCCTGAACACACCCCAGGTGAGAGTCTGCCCTCATATCGTTGGTTTAGCCAGTCCTGTGTCTCAGTTCTAGACTGAAAGTCCCCACCCTCAGCATACTGTAGGACTTCTGCCACAGCAGGCACTCCCGGGACACCACAGCTGGATGTGAGCCTGTAAGGGCAGGCAGAGAATGACATCGTGGTGGTGCTCCCTGCTGAGGACAAAGAGTGACCCTCAACAAACCATAAACAATCCTGTCAGGACTAAGCATGACTACCCAGGTATTGAGTCCTAGAGCCACTTGAAATATCTGCTCAGCACACGTCCGAGTGTGCCAGAACATGGCCCAGGAATGGAGTCAGGGGAAGAGACTCCTGACTGTATGTCTAGGTCGACGCATAGGACACCTACTCAGAAAGAAACTGGAGAAACACACAGCCTCTCACAACAGGCATTCCAAACCACAGAGGGCCCTGGAGTTTGTGGTGGTGAGCAGGCCAGGAGGATTCCCCAGCATCCTGCAGCCAGGGCTGGTTTTGGGGTTCCAGTGTCTTTGTCCATAGAAACCTTATATGGCAGGCCTGAAAATCTTTCTTGGTCTATCACTTCAGGGTTTTTATTTCTTTAATTGGTTTTTTGTTGTTATTGTTGTTTCTAGCTCTAAATGCCCTGTTTTCTTGGTCTCAAAACAGCACTGTAGTAAAACTTCTCATAAATTCTTTTAAAATTCAGGTGTCTCCACCCTCATTAGTATGCAGTCTACAGCTCTTCTGAGTTGAGTTATTTTAGACTTTATTTGTTTAAAAACATAAGTTGGAGAAGAAATAATCAATAAATGGCCTAAGAGTCCCAAAGAAGTATAGGAATAATGGATTTTTCTGTTTCAGATATACTTTAAAAAGCTAGTTTTTCCATATACAAGTAGAAGCCACAAGCTGTTGAATGAAAACCTCAATACCACCCAATGAATTGCTGATCACAGAGCCCATGAGTCCCCCAAAATGACTCAGCCTATTGCCAACGCTCTTGGTTGCTTGCCAGAACTAGGTGGTAAGAACAGCTGCTGAAGGCACCATGTGTTGGCTACAGGACATAGAAAAACAAAGTTGTAACTGAGCTGGAAGTTTCCTCTCTGGTAGCAGCCTCTTAAGGTGCCAGTAGACGTTATACAGGCTGCCATGGGAGAAAAGGCTTCAGAAATCTTACATAGCTGTGAGCCCTGTATGTTACACTACTAACTGGCCCCAGAGGATGTGACCATAGGGCAATAGTAGCATGATTATTATGGGGATAATGAGCCATTTTTTGATTAAATTTAAAGGGCTGCTCCATCTGACAGTTGATCCCTTATGCTTAAACTCTGGTCAAAAGTCTAAAATAGTTGGGATGATCACAGGTCTAGTAGGGAGGCTACTGCATTTTTTGTTTTTTTGATTTGGGAACATACTATATACATGAGTTCTGCTGTCTGCTGCTGTCAGAATCATTTCTTCTGGCCATGGACAGATGTATTTACAGAGATTTATGACTGGTGAATGTGTGGCTGAGAATAAGTGACTACTAAATATTTATCCCTAAATGGGATTTCCGGACCATCTCTTACAAGTCTGAAGGACTATCACAGAACAGGATGCAGGAATAGTGTAAGAGACAGAGGAAGCAACAGACAGTCATTAAACACCGCTTTTCAGACACAACATTGATGCACTCATGAACTCAGAGCAACTATGGTTACCTTTACAAGATCGGTCCATCAATATTGCCTATGGATCGGGAAGGATCTCACAAGGCCCCTCCTCCCCTTGAGATGTTAGTACGGAGTGGTTGCTGGAGAAAGGGAAGATCTTATCTTCAACGACAGAGGCATTGGTACACTGTGCTTGCTTCTCTCCATAACCCCTTAACAGCGCTGCTCATCAACCCAAGTGAAGCTCATCCGAACAACCATAAACAGAGTCAAAAGTTGGTAGAAGAAGGAGTGGATGGGAAAGCAAAGGGAACAACTGGGTGGGAGCAGGACAAGAGAGGTCCTGAAGGGTGACTGTGACCACAATGAACGTATGACAATCTTATAACGAAGCCCATTACTAAGCATAACAGGCGCTCGATGCAGAACCTAATAAATTAAAATACACATAAAATGATGAGTGTAGTAGGTTGTCCTTGGCCTCCTCAGCATTCGTTATTTGTGTAATGGGTCATCAGTCTCATCAATACTGTCACATGTCTAAACATACTAAAGATTCTCCAACACATTTTGGAGAAAAATTTAACTTCTATATAATGTAAGTCAGTATCTTAACTGGCCATCAATTGCTGAGTAAACATTCATTCTTTAACTATCACCACACAAAAATAAATAAATAAAAGGATTCTAAACTTGTTGCTTTTCTCTCCTTTCTTCTGTTGATTCTCATGGAAGACCAACGACATGGCCCCAGTCTCGCAATGAAATAAACAAGAAGACTGACCTTAGATGTTCAAACCTGTGATCAAGGTCAACGAGAAAGTTTCAATGTGTGAGTGAATTGATGTGTACGTTAGAGCTCATTTCCAGAGAATCAGAAAAACTTCTTTAAAAAAATCATAAAAATTGTGTGCACATGACATGGGCTAACCGTACTTTCATAAGTGTAGCAAATTCTCATTTGAGGGTTTTTCTCACATTATCTGGAGAAAAGTCATTCCCAATTCTGCGTCAACTCATGACTCAGTTCTAATCTCTCAGGCTGCTAGCTCTTCAGCTTGTGTAACTGAATGTCACAGTGCTTCGGGTCCTTTCTCTAAGCAGGAGACTTAAACTTATTTCAGAGGTTTGTCAGATTTAATGTTATAAAGGATGTTAGTTGCTTGGCATACTGTTGATATAAAATGATAATTCATATTTCAACAAATAATAAAATCATTATATATTTTCATTCCAAACTTTATGATGGTCTGTGATATAGGTAACCAGTGATGGTCAGAACATTCTATAAACTTAAAAATCTTCTAAAAGTATAACACATATAGAAGTATATACAACAACATCATACAGTTCAGCTAATATTCACAAACAGAATGCCTATCCATTAATGAGAGCTAAACTTTATACAATGGCAGGTGTAGTTATTTGGAAATATGTTTTCATTGCATGAGTTTGTGTTCCTTGCTTCGATTCTTGTTCTTAAATATGAATTGGTTTTATTTAACTGTTCTGCTTTTCTATCAAACATCATATTTTATTTTTCTCCTTACCAAGTGATCAACTTAAACATTGACTGTAAATGCTCTTTCTTGAAATTGGAATAAGAATTACTTTATCCTTCTTTTTCTGAGTTTTAGTACTAGTCCCAGCAATGTCAATGACCTTTCTTCCACTGTCGGCTATTTTACTTGAGCTTTTAATGAGGATAAAAGAAATGTGTGCCTTGCCACTCTAAGAGATTATGTTATAGGATGTGGTCTTGAAACTTTTCATCCTCAGACAAAAACAGGCCCTTTCTTGGTTAATGCACAACAGTAGAATAAATATGTAAGAATCCCCCTTAATATCTGACTGCTGCAATAGCAGAGGGCTCTTTCGTGAAGATGCTGAAATCTG